AGCCTCATCTTTCTCCCGCGGAGCGGCTGGTAGTTTCGAACCGCTGGCCTTAAGGTTCGCAGCCCGATTCGTAACCACTACGCTACCAGAGCTCCAATTATAAAAGATTTATAATGTGAAAATGGCATGGCTTAACGGCTGGTGTGGTGCTGTAGGCTAATACGTCAGACTGTAAGGTAGTTTGAACTGCAAGGTCAGTGGCTCAAGCTCACCAGCTAGCTATTCCTTGGAAACCCTATACAGGGTTGCTATGGGTCAGAATTAACTCAGTGGCACCTAACAACAACAATGAGGGCATTCTATGTTGGTAGTGCTATCAGTTGACACAGTCTTTCTGGGAAGCATTTTAGTGATATATATTAAAATACAAGTATACTCTTTAAGTAGTCTAGAAATTTTCCTGAAGATAAAGCAGAACACGCACACATATAGAGAGAAGCAATTTTGGTAAAATGTTAATAATTGTTACTTTTAGGTGAAGGTTTTATAGATGTTCATTATACTTTTTTTTTGTAGGTTTGAAACTTTTCAAAATAAAAGATAGGAGAAAGAGGATTATAAAGTTTAAATATTTGTTAGTCTTGGGATTTATTGCCCCTTCCTGAGGTTTTACAGTATTGTGCTTATGCCGAAGGCGTACCCTTGTCCCACCCCCCAAAAAATTTCACACTGATCATGGGATCGCCTCAGCTGCTCCTCTTGGTCACTAGTTATTACACTTGAAAAAGTTGCGCCACAATGCCGTGCTTGCCTAGGAGGGCACAACATCTAACATGCCATGCTTCAGTTTTCTAAATGGAAATAAAAGCATACCCCAGATTTACTAAAAATAATATTTAATATTTATTAGGCATTGTTATTAATGTAATAAGTGTGCAAAAAGCATTTCTTTGCTAGGCACTAAAGAGAGAACAAGAAGAATATGCCACACCAGATGTTAAAACTTACTATTAAAGAAAAAACCCACAACTTACTGTAAAGCACCATTACCAAAATGTTGCTCTTATGTGCTGTTGAGTGGGTTCCAACTCATAGCAATCCTATATAGGGTTTTCAAGGAGCTGCCGGTGAGTTTGAACTGCGATCCTGTGGTTCAAACCTACCTTGTGGTCCAGTGCTTATCAAATAGCCACACCAGGAATCCATTACCAAAATAGCATGGTAGTAAAAGAAATAAACTGATCAGTACTGTAAAACAGAAGCCACAAATACATAGAATTTAATAGTGAACAATAGCGGTCTAATTAATAACTTTTCTGTTACTAACTGGTAAGTACCAACTGTTTTCTCAGGTGACATAGCTGTTATGATGGTTGAACCCAGGTTTTGAAGTCATCCTGTGAAAACAGACAAATCCTTCAGCTTAACAGCCTCACTTAGAGAATATATATACTGCTGAATTAAAAGCATTGTCATTAGCTACAAGGATGTTATTAACTACATTATTTTTAGTAATCAGCTAATTTAGCTCTGAGCCTCCTGGAGCCTTATTTAAAATTAAAGAAAGAAAGAAATATAAGAAACTGGATGGCTTTCATTGTTTGAGAAAAGAAAACAAAATTTCTTTGACATTGCATTTTAGAAGGTATTTTGTTTGTTGTGGGAATTTTTACCTTTTTCATCTCTGTTTTTGAAGAGATACTATTTTTTTTTTAAGTGGTTATCCTAGTGCTGTTGAATATGTAAAATTAAATCAACTATAAGAAGGCATTTCTGATCTTTCAGGAATTAAATTTAGGAAATTTAAAGGAAATTGGTAGTTAACATGTCCCTTGTAGACTTTCCGGATACAAATAACTTCGTTGGCAATACCATAGCTTAAGAGGTCTGTTTGAAACTTGATTGTTAGTGATACACAGTTCTTAATTGGCTCAAGTGTGCTGGCGGGTAATATAATTTATGGTTTATTCTCTGATTAAGTGTGGAGGTTTTATGGTATTCATTAAAGAAAGATTTAAATGTTTGTGTGTGTGTGTGTGTGGTTCAGTATGGTGCTAGGTTCAGTATTTGCTAGGAGACCAAAGAAAGCACAACTGATTTCTGTGCCTTGCAATAGCGTTTATTTTTATCAAAGCTATTTGCATGATGCTAAATTGTGTAAATCAGGAAGTTTTATCTTTGAATGTTTACTTTCACTATTCTCACCACTGACAAAAGTCCTCAAGAGAATATTGATGTTGTGACCTATTCTGATTTTACAATAATATTTTTCTCCAGTCTTAGTTGATATTAATTTTCTAGTTAGATTTAATTTATTAATATTAGACTAGCACTGTTCCCCAGGTATAAGGTATAATCAGATTTTTTCGTTTGTCCTCTAATAAGGCTTTTTAAAAAAAAAAACAAAAAACAAAACTAGGACAGCTAGTTTATCTCCCGGAAAGTATGTGTCAGAATCTCTGATAATCCCTTATCTCACATTTTGACAATCTTTATCATTATTGTCTGTTTAACCCAAAATCTCTGCTATTATAAATAAGCTATTTCCCTTGCTTTATTCTTAGTAAAAATAGAACGTACCATCATGATTATAGAAATTACATCACTTTTTTCTCCCCACCCCAGAACTTTTTCTTTTTCAATAGAATTTCAACTGTTGTTACTAACCCAAGTTAATTTTAGATATTATTGCTGAAAGCCTCAGTTTTGCCATTTTTTGAGGTGTTAATTGAAATATCAATATATTTAGAGCAGAAATGTCATTTTTTAGGGAATCTAGAGCAACAGCAAAGCTGAGGTCAAACTGCCATAAGGATGGACACCAAGGAAGCTGTGTTTGGGACAAAAAGAAATCAAGATAAGGTAGATGCAAAGTAGAGACAAGCCAATGGACCCTGGGAGAGGGGATGGTAGGTGGGAATGGGCTGATCGCCTCTAATGGCAGAGAATAGTTAGATTACTGAAGAGGAAGCTGGAAAAGGCTTGTAGGAAATACTGAGGATTTGGATTTAAGTACTGCCTTCCCTCTGGATGTGCAAGTTTTACCTGACTTTTAGCTAGTAGAGCGCGCTTTGAAAGTTGATAAGGTTTAGTGTTTCGATGGGGATGGGCCCTTATATTATGACCAATATAAGTGTTTCCTCTCTGAAGAGTTGTGGAAGAACTGCTGTATTCATTGATTAAACCATTTCTGAAACCCAACTTTAGCACAAACACTGCTTATTACTTGGCAGTTGAAAGGGAATCTCTGATTGAAGCATTAAACAGACAAAATCAATATAGAAAATTTCATCTTTCCTTGCATTTCTGTGATGTAAAGACTGTGTTTCTCTTCATAGCAACATGAACCGTGAAGACCGGAATGTGCTGCGTATGAAAGAACGGGAAAGGCGAAATCAGGAAATTCAGCAGGGCGAGGACGCCTTCCCACCTAGCTCTCCTCTCTTTGCTGAGCCATACAAAGTTGTAAGTTGGCCTTTGTGTATTTTCCCGCTAATAACACATTTTTACTTTTTAAATATTTTCATCTTGATTTTCTATTAGAAAAGGATTACTGTATCATCTAATAGTTTAACATTTTTTAGAGTGTATGTTCTTGGAGTATACTTTTCATTGGAGTATAATATGCATATAAAGAAAGTACACAAAGTAAATGTTTGAAAAATTTTCATAACATGAAAATACACATCCAATCAGGACCCAATCATGTAATAATAGAGCGTTACCTCACCCTAAAAACTCTCCTCCTCTTCCCATTGCTAATTGGAACTTTTAAAATTGAGGTCTGGATTGACATTTGTCTGTGTACTTTGGATCTACCACAAAATTGGGACAGACTTGTTACCTTTCTGCCCCTTGTATTAAATTGAATATTTTGTAGCTTATTATGCATTATCTGCTGTTTCTTAGGTACTTTTTGGCTATATCATCAATCAAAGATGAATATTTCATGGATGCTTTTGTTGTTCCTTATTTCTTGCCATTTGGTTACTTGTTGTTAAGTACCATTGAGTCGGTTCCGACCCATAGTGACCCTTTCCCATGGCTGTAAATCTTTACAGGATCAGAAAGTCGCATCTTTCTCCCATGGAGCAGCTGGTAGTTTCGAACTGCTGACCTTGAGATTTGCAGCCCCATTCGTAACTACTACGCTACCAGAGCTCCTTATTTGGCTACTTAGTTTACTAGAATTCAGTAACTATTAGTAGATTTCAATAAATGTGTCTTCAGTTCTTTTATTTTACTATCATTGGCTAAATTCTCTGGATTTTCCTTTTAATGTATTTTTAATGCTTAATTAACAATATCAGATTTATGTTAGAGCTTGTTGCCAGAGATGTTTAATGCATTGAAGCATTTGCTATAAGCAATAATATAAATAAAATTAAAAAAATTTAAAATTACTACTATTGTACTTGATTTACAGTAAACACTGACTAGTACCACTTCCAGTGACTATTATTGAAATTTGGTGGTCATACATATCTCTAATACTTGATTTAGTTTTGGATTTTATTCAATTTGTTTTCCTTGTATTTTACAGGCTTATTTTGTGTATATTAGCTATAATACTATATATTTCAGCAGTAATGACTATTGGTTTAAATTATGAAATTTGAGAGTTCATTTTTTAAATGAAATATTAAAAGTATAACATACTTGGTGTTTATAGAAACCACTATGGCATCTGTAAAAGCCATTTATTTCGTGCTTTAAGGATTTTTCAATTTAAAATGAGTCATACTGACATGGTTGTTTTTGTGAGCATGAACACAAAACCTGTATTAGAGATTTCCTTAGTTACCTATTGCTGCTATAGCACAAATACAACACATATATATTATTTTCTCACTGTTTAGGAGTCTAGAAATCTGCTGTCTGGACTATGGCTCTGGGGAAGGTCCTTGTTCATTGATTCCTTGGTGATCTTCATGTGGTGTGGCATCTACCTTCAGCTTTTCTTGCTTGCTTATTTATTTAATCTCTTGTCTATCTCAAAGAGATTGATTTAAGACACACCCTACACTAATACTATCTCATTAACATAGCAAAGAAAATCCATTCCCAAATGAGATAATAACCACATATTATAGGGGTTAGGATTTAACAATAGATATATTTGGGGGACATAGTTCTATCTAGAACAGCAATGAAAGGATATTGAAAATAACTAGAGTTTTGTCCAGAATCACGACTCATACTACTGTTTATTTTGTAGTTACATTCTAATGAACTGGATTTGATTCTGATCTTGATATTGTCTGTTGTTGTTAAGTGCTGTCTAGTTGGTTCTGATTCATAGTGAGTCTGTATAAGATGTCTGTTGTTGAGTGCCGTCGAGTCGGTTCCGACCCATAGTGACCCTCTACAGGGTTTCCGAGGCTATAAATCTTTACGGGAGCAGAAAGCCTCATCTTTCTCCCATGGAGCGGCTGGTAGTTTCGAACTGCTGACCTTGCGGTTCGCAACCTGATTCATAACCACTACGCTACCAGAGCTCCTTTTGTGTAAGATGTCTAGGGCTGTAAAACTTAGCAGGAGCAGAAAATCTCATCTTTCTCCCATGGAACAGTTGGTGGGCTTGAACCACCAGCCTTGTGGTTATCTCTTGTTTAATAGGATCGGATTTTTCAGGTAATCAAAAGCTGTTATTGATTCATGCTAACCTCAAAATAAATAATAGTAATTTAACCTGAGTTCCACTTTTGTAATCAGAATATTTTCTTCCATGTATCTGAGTATAAAGGTCCTAGACCTAGTAGACATCATGAACCTATTTAAAATACATTACTATTGATTTCAAAAGTAGGAGGTTCTGTTTGGTCAGAATTAGCCAGGATTTCAAATTTTATCCCTGGTTGATTTTTTTTGTGTGCTTAAATTTGCTATTTGGGGCTTTTGATAACCTGACGAATCATAATAGCAGGTAGAATCAAAATTAAAAACAGTGCAACAGTTGGGTATAACTTGTTTCACTAAATTTTTGTTACTGCTTTTAACTATACATTGAATTACAAGGAAGATATCTTAGACGGCCAAATTTTAAGTGTTGACTAATCTTCTGACATGGAACTTAATTATGTAAAAGCATAATTTTGATTATTTTCCTGCTTTTCAAAAGCTTTTGCTACTGTGCTAGTATGTTTATTGGTGAAATTCAGATTATTTTCCTTCTGAAATCTAGTTCTCAGTTGTCTTACAGACAAGTAAGAATATTTATTTTTAGATACTTTAAATGAATATTTTCAGTATAAAAGTTGTATATCTGGAGTTTGTTTCCAGTTGTTATCCTTGAGGTATGAGGCTATAAAAAACTCCTTTTTTATTTGAAGTTTGGAAAGTCAGTTTATCATCATATTTTATTTCTAATTATGCAAATAGTACAATTTTATTTTACATTTTTTGTAGACTAGCAAAGAAGACAAGTTATCAAGTCGCATTCAGAGTATGCTTGGAAACTACGATGAAATGAAGGATCTCTTAGGGGACAGATCTATACCAAAGCTTGTTGCAATTCCCAAGCCTACAGTACCACCGACAGCAGATGAAAAATCCAACCCAAATTTCTTCGATCAGAGACATGGGAGCTCACATCAAAGTAGCAAATGGACTCCAGTAGGACCTGCACCCAGCACTTCTCAGTCTCAGAAACGGTCCTCAGGCTTACAGAGTGGACACAGCAGTCAACGGACCAGTGCAAGTGGCAGTAGCAGCACTAATAGTAGTAGCCAGAGGCATGACCGTGACTCCTATAGCAGTAGTGGGAGCAGTAGCCGGAAAAAAGGCCAGCATGGATCAGAACACTCCAAATCACGCTCTTCCAGCCCTGGGAAACCCCAAGCTGTTTCTTCATTAAGCTCCAGTCATTCCAGGTCTCATGGGAATGATCACCATAGCAAGGAACATCAACGTTCCAAATCACCTCGGGACCCTGATGCAAACTGGGATTCACCTTCCCGTGTACCTTTTTCAAGTGGACAGCACTCAAACCAGTCTTTCCCCCCTTCATTGATGTCAAAGTCCAGTTCAATGTTACAGAAACCCACTGCCTATGTGCGGCCCATGGATGGACAGGAGTCCATGGAACCAAAGCTGTCCTCTGAGCACTACAGCAGCCAATCCCATGGCAACAGCATGACTGAGCTGAAACCCAGCAGCAAAGCACATCTCACCAAGCTAAAAATACCTTCTCAACCACTGGATGTAAGTCACACAGTAGAACTTTTAACATTGTGAATATGTGAAGCAATTTACCATGAAATTATGATTGAACTTGAACTGCCTCTTTGCCTTATTATAAAGGATGTAAAAGTTTAAAGAAAGACTTGTGAGTGGTTCCCAAGTGAATTCATAGAGCTGTTAGTGTCTCCTCTTGGGAAATAGACTGTCATTTCCTATTTTCCAAAATTAAAAATGACAAGTCCCTGTAAAATAAAAGTTGCCACCTTAGATTTTCCCTCTTGATAAAATGATTGGTTGATTGCATTCCATGGAGTTGGTTCCAAATCATAGTGATCCTGTATAGGGTTTCCAAGGCTATAAATCTTAACGGAAACTGAAAGCCTCATCTTTCTCCCACAGAGCTACTGATAGATTCGAACTGCTGACCTTGTAGTTAGCAGCCCAGCTTGCAATCCATTACATTTCCAGGGCTCCTCTTTATAGAATAGTATGCCATAATATACCTTGTTTTCTTTTCTTTAAAAAGAAAATTGAATTCTCTGTTACTTCTCATAGTGACTTCTGAATGAAATGTGGGCCATGAGTCATTGTGATAAATGTTAGGATATTTTCTGGAGATGGTGGTGATGTATGGTTTGGATACTGCAGTCCCTTCTCTGGTTATGGGGTTGAGGTTGTTGTTGTTAAGTGCTACTGAGTTGGTTCCGACCCATTAGTGACTCTGTATAGGGTTTTTAAGGACTGGCTGGTGAGCTTGAACCACTGACCTTTTGACTCAAACTGACTTTACAGTCCAGCGCATTAAGCCACAGCGCCGCACCAGGACTCCATAGGTTTGAGGTAGCTGAATACTAAAGCAGGATATTCAAAATAACCAAAGAAGTGAGCATTCATAGTGAAAGAAATGGAAACTTATCTTTTAATGTAATTTGTGCAGTAAAAAAAAAATTTTTTTGGAAGTAATGTCAGTAAGCAAAAATCATACCTCAGAATGGTCAGGAGAGGGTTTGTTGTTGGTGGTGATGGTGTGCTGTCGAGTCGGTCCCAACTCATAGTGACCCTGTCTAGGGTTTCCAAGGCTGTAAATCTTTACGGGAGCAGAAAGCTTCATCTTTCTCCTGTGGAACTGCTGGTAGTTTCGAACTGCGGACCTTGAGGGTAGCAGCCTGAGAGGGACAGGCACACTGGTTTTTTTTTTGTTTTTTTTTTTTGGCGGGGGAACATTTGAAAGTCTTTCCTGCCTAGGTAAGCTAATTGATATCTGGCATTCGCCATCTTCAAAATAACAGTAAAGTGGTAATTTGTACAATTTAGTGTCAGTGATTTAAGAAAGAATGTGTAAAACACACATCATGTTGCAGAAAAGTAATCTTTAACTAAACTTGGCTTTATTCTGTTTGTTTATTGATGTGAAATGATTTAGTTCGGTATTTTGAATATAAGTAAACTTAAAACTTTTTTGGCAAGCTGTTACCTAACAAAATTACATTTATCAAATTACAATCTAAATGTAAGAAAGTTGAAAATCTTAAAACCTTTGAATTACAGAGATGTTGTTGGAAAAAAGAACAAATTACAGCTTTACTGTTACTTTGAAGATGGCAAATGCCAGATATCAACCAGTTTATCTAGGCAGGAAAGACTTTTACATTGAAGTTTCTCAAATCATAGTTAGAAGATTAACAAATTTTTAGTGATTACAATTTGTATTTAAAAAAAATTAGTCCAAAGTTTCTAATTAGTGTTCTGATATGGGGTTGTTGTTGTTGTTGTTAAGTGCCGTCGAGTCAGTTCCGACCCATAGCGACCCTGTACAGGATTTCCGAGGGTGTAAATCTTTACGGGAGTGTGGAATCATAAATAACTTGTTTAAATTTAATTTTATTTCAAATATTTTTATATCTGTGCAACAAATGGTCATCTAATCATGACTCTAAATCTAATCTGCATTTCTTATTTTCTTTATTTCTTAAGGCATCTGCTTCTGGTGATGTGAGCTGTGTGGATGAAATTCTTAAAGTAAGTTATCTGATTTTTAATAGTTGCAGTCTTTTTATTTAATGATGATGCACTGCTACTCTTTGCTCTTCCCTATATTTCTCAAAGGATTTGAAGCAGCAGATTGCTTACATGTGTAACTTGATTATGTTCATCAATATCAATTGACGATTTTGCTTGCATTCACACTTCGGTTCTGAATCACATGGTTTGTTTGCTGTTTACCTTTACCTTGCAATAGTTTTTTTTTTTTTTTTTTAATAATGCAAATTCCAGTCTTAACAGCTTGCCTTGAAAAGAAAAAGAACAAATATAATTGTAATCTCTCAGGTTTATCAGTCACTAATTTGAGGTGCTAAAGAACTCAGTAGTTATCAGTTAGACCATTACATTGAAAATTGATTGCTTTGCAAGTCATCTGTACATGCTGGTCAAATTCTACAATAAAAGATCTCTGAATACTGCTCATTTTAGGTGTTGAATTTTTACATTTTAGGTGTAAAATTGACATATAACCAAAAATTTCAAAAAGAAATTGGATATAATGTGTAGTGAATTTGTGAGTGGCAATGACTACTTTTTGCTTAAGAGAAAAAAGATAAAACTGTCAGTCACATAATAACTTGTATTTCCTTGGGGTTTTTTTTTTTGGTGGGGCGGGGAGTAAGCTCCTGAATTTGTGTCTATAGGGTGCATTTCACTGTTAATACTTTGGAAATATTACTCTGCATTGACTGCTTCTGCTCTGTTCTTTCTGATTCCTTCTCTTAGCCTGCTGGATCTTCTCTTTGACCTCCATAATGCTGCTGACCCTGCTTCTCTAAGGACACTGTCTTCCCCTGCATTCGAAGAGCTTCACTGAGATCTCATTCTTTTTACCTTCTCTGCTATTTTAAAGAGCTTTCATTTTTTCCTTCTGGAATCTTCATTCTTCCTTCCTTAACTGTTGTTATGCGTCTTTGTTTTTATTTTCCATCTGCCCTTCTTGCCCTTTTGGAACCTTTGTGCCCTCTCATATCACTTAAGTATGGTTTCATTTTTTAGTCTCTCTTCTCTTTGACTTGACTGACTTTTCCTCCGTTTTCATGGCTTTATCTGTTAGACAGCTATTCAATCTTCCTTTCCTATGTTGACCTCATTGTATTTGGCTAATGTCTCTGAATTGCCTCTTAGTGGTTTCCATTTGGATTTCCTGCTGTTTCTTTAGACTCAACATGTCTAAAGTCATACTTATCAGACTTCCTTCTATTAATAGTATCGCAATTTTCCCATGCTCATATATAGAGTGGAAACTTAGATGTCTGATTTCTTCCTCTCATATTCCATTTAATTACAAAACTAGGCTAAGATTTTAAAAATTCCTTCAAAATATCTATCTCTTTCCATTCCTGCCACATTGAGCCTAAATAATGACAGATATACTCTGCCTTTCTCCCTCCAGTGTTTTTCTTGCTTGTCTTTTTTTTTTTCTTTAATATTTTGATATTTTTATTCAATGAAAGTTACTTTGATTTCATAGCAATACTTTTTGGCTTACCCTCATATATACCTTATGTGTCTATCTTTTGCATTGCTACCAGGGTCTTTGCTTAAATCTCTATTCTTCATAAATTAATTTCCTTCTCCAAAATTTTCAGTGCATCTGTAAGGCCCATAAAAAGAGTACTTTCCAAATTCAACATTTCAGACCTTCCACAGTCCAGTTCTTACGTCTCCCACTATTGATGGACCTTGTTAGTCAACCTGGTTTCCCTAAACCACACACTTCCCCTCTTTGTTTGTTTTTACCTCCTTAATGTAAACTTTCTTGGGGTGTGTCACCTTTTCAGTAATTTCTAGATTCTGTTTTTTCGTTGAAAATAAATATATCATTTATTTTCAGTTATTATGTATATAAAAAGTCATAAGTCACATTTCTTTGCCCTTGAATCCTCAAAAATGTATGGAATTTTACTATCTGGAAGAAACCTTAAGTTTTCTTCTATTTAATTATCTCTTTGATATCACTGACCATTTATTTTATATGCCCAGGGCTTAGCACATGGCCATGGGTATAATAATACTCAGCCATTTGATGATAGTTGGAGAATGAAATTGATTTTCTTATTTGAGAGTATATTGGCCTTTGAGGTATAAAATGCCATACTGAGAGCCTAGAGTAGATGAGTTTTCATTTCCCTTCCTATTCCTTGTGTGCTGTGTACAAAGAACTCCAGGTCTATATCATGAATGAAAAGAAATGAAATGAAAAGAGAAGAAATTTAATTCTTAAGGATATATATTTATTGTGGAAGAAATTAATTTATGCATAGTAATTGTGCACCAACTAGGCGCCAAACTTTGGGGATTCTGTGACAATAAGAATGATAACCCTTCTACCCTTTGAGTGAACATTCTAGAACAAGATGTAGGAACTAATATGCTATTAAAATATGTAGGATTACACTATTAAAATATGTAGGAAGTAAAATGCTATTACAAATAAAACATCATAAGAGGATAGAGAGCAATGACAATACAGATGGCTGTTTTCAGAGGTTCAAGCAGTACAGACGATATCAAGTACCCTTTGTTCCCCCTTTCTGTTGCGTAAAGGTAGCCAGAGTTAACTATACAGAGAATTTGTTTCATGTATAAATAGTTTGTAGGACATAGGTATGACATGTGTTTGTCATTTAACCATATACTGTGGACATCATTTCATATCAGTAGTTAAATTCTCATTTTAATGTCTGCTTCGTGTTCTGTTGTGTGGATGTCAATTTATTTAACCAGTCCTGGTTGTTAGAGACTTAGTTTCCATTTTTCAAGTGTGACCCCTTGAGCATGTATGTTTACATAACTCTGTGGGTATAACTACTGGGTAAATTGCTAGTAGTGTACCACATCTTACTTATTGTGTATTCTCTACCTGATGGCTTACTTTGAACTCAATGCCAGAAATAAAGTACTCCCTTCTTATTCTGATACCGCTCCTGCCCCCTGCTCCTCTGACATATACATTGTGATTCTTTCTACTTATCTAAACCCCCACTTGGACACATTTGGTATATGATTAGACAGAAGGCTCAAATAAAACCAGACTTAGAACCTTGCCTGTCCTCCTCCTTGTGTGCTTCTGAATTCTCGCTTCTGATTTTCTCCACCTGGCCAAAATTTCCTATCATTATCTGAATCCTATAGCCAGAGTCTGGGAGATGAAATTTGTGTCTATCACTGACTAAGTGGGTGACCATGAATAAGTAATTTCTGTGCTTCAGTTTCATCCCAGATAGAGTGAAGATAATAATGGTATTTACCTGAAGTTAATAATGGTATTTACCTCATAACGTCATTGTGAGAATTAAATGAGTAACAGACATGCAAAGCACTTAGCTCAGTGTCTATCCCATTAAAGGTACAGGATAAATAAATGTTAGCTGCTCTCTATTATCATTACCCCTTTCCTCCCACTGCCACAGCAAGCTCTTCCTCAGTAGTGCTTTACTATGTGCCTTGTGTATGATTACAGGCTGACTTCTGTAACTATTCACAGATCTCACCATCCTAACAGAAAGCTCCTTGAAGTCAAGGAGTGTATATTATTTATCTTCTCATGCCCAATAATGTTTTGCACACGATTGTGCATAATTAATATTTATTGATTTAAAATGTATTATTTTGGAAGAGCAATCATGAAACCAGTATTTATAAATATAAATCTGGTTTTAGCTGTATAATTTTTATCCTTGACCTGCTTGAAAACAAATTGTAATAATTACATTTCAGGAGATGACGCATTCATGGCCTCCCCCTCTAACGGCTATTCATACGCCATGCAAAACAGAACCTTCCAAATTTCCTTTTCCAACTAAGGTAAGTAAATAAAATGTGTCTTTAATACTGTAAGAAAACAAAATGGCTTGACTAAAATTACATGAATTCAGAATTTTGTCTTGCCATTCCCATTTTGTGGGACAATAAATAATTAAATAGAAAGTTAATATAGTAATATTTACAAATAAAACAGAGTAATGGATTGAGAACGACTTGAATTGAGAGGTATTTGAGCAAGCTTTTTAAGGCAATAAATAACATTGATGCTTGTTGTAAACTATTAAGATATTCTAAACTAAAGGTAGTAGGGCTTTTCAATCCATTGGCTAAGGAATCCCTATCTAAGGATATAGTAAGTAACTATATTTTTGTCCTATGGGAAACATTTTCTCAGACAGTGGTTTCAAGTTAATCTAGAATCAGATGATTTATTTGCTTTTAATTAAATTGTTGTTAAGTGCCATCGAGTCAGGTCCGACCCATAGCGACCCTGTACAGGGTTTCCGAGGGTGTAAATCTTTACGGGAGTAGAAAGCCTCATCTTTCTCCCGCGGAGCGGCTGGTAGTTAATTACACTTATACAAATTACACAAATATACATTCTCACTGTGAAAGTTGACCAGGACCTCTAGTAATAGCCTTCCTCCAGTTCTGCCCACCCTCACTAGAGTTAATTTCATATGTTCAAGCAGGCTTCAAAAAGTTTTTAGAAAAATGGAATGAAAAGATATGACTTTTCATAGCTTTTTTGAAGCCCTCCCGTATTTTTACAAGTCTTTCCATGCATGTGTGTACATATATCTGTAATCATTTACATGTAAGCATCTTCATTTATTTCTACATAATATGTTGTAGTATATCTTTACTCAGTCAGCAATGTCTTGGAGACCTTTCCATGTTATTACATATACAAGTATCTTGTTTTCTTTTTAACTGCATTCATAATATAAATGTGTCCTAGTTTATTTAATCATTTCTCTTTGGCATTTAGGTGGGTCACAAGTTTGCATTTTTATGAATATTACGCTAGTGTAATGTTCTTGTGTACATTATTGTACATTAGTGTGAATTTCCTTAGTGTAAAAAACAAAGAGTAGAATTGCTGAGTATACTTCAATATATACTTGTAAATTGCTTTTGTAGTATTTATACCAGTTTGTACTCCTACTTGCATTATCCATTGTACGCCTACTTGCATTATCCATCACCCACAACATGCACACCACTATTTGGAATTACTGAGCACCAGTCTTTTGAGTGAAAAATGGCATTCCATATTCTAGATAACTAGTGAGGTTCTGTCAGCTGTTTGATTTCTTTGTGAGCAAATGGTTCTATTCTCTTTGTCCTTTGGTCTGTTTGTTTTACCAGTGAGTTTTGTTTTCATTTAAGTATTTTATTTTAATTCTGGATTCTAATAACTTCTTGTATATAATACAGATATATCTCTCAGTTGGAATCTTGTCTTTTTAAGTTTGAAAGTCTAGAAGATTTTCATATTAATGAGTAACATGTATCTTCCTTTATAGCTTTTGCTTTTTAATGTCTTGAATCCCTAAGATCACGAGTGTGTCTTTTTATTTCCCTTTTTATTTAATGGTCTTATTTTTTATGTTTATCTTCAGTCCAGTTTATTTTGTGGCTGATGTAAGGTAGAGATAAAACATTTTATCTATACATGTGCCAATGCCACTTCATTTTTGTGTGCTGTTGAATCAGTGCCGACTCACAGCAACCCTGTGTAGGGTTTCTGAGGTTGCAAATATTTGTGGGAATAGAGAGCCTCATCTTTCTCCCACAGAGCAACTGGTGGATTTGAACTGCTAACCTTGTGGTTAACCCAACAAGTAAGCAACTTTGCCACCAGGGCTCTTAAACCAGCTTTATTCGCATACAAACAGTGCACCTGTAATCCATGTACAGTTTGAATTTTGACTTGTGTAACCACTACCCTAATCAAGAATGAGAACATTTCCATCACCTGAAAAAGTTTCTTTATCCTTTGCAGTGAATATCACTCTACCAATGGCCTGAACAATTAAGTTATTTTTTGTGTCATTATAGATTTGTTTTTGCCTTTTCTAGAATTTCATACAAATTGAATCCATTTTGCAGATTGATTCTTTTGCTCAGCATATGATTTTGGGATTCTTCCATGTTCTTGAATATATCATTAATTTGGTATTTTACTGCTCTTGTATTGTATGAAACTACCAAAATTCATCTATTCACCTGTTGATGAGCATTTTGATTGTTTCTCGGTTTAGACTGTTAAGAGTAAAGTATCTATACAAACATTTATTTACAAGGGTTTTTTTTGACTTATGTTTGCATTTCTCTTGGGTAAATAAATAACTGGTTCAGTGGATAAGAAATAGAATGTTGGTTCCCTGGTGGTGCTTTAAGATAAATAGTAGACTGCTAACTAAAACCTAGCAGCCAGGCCGGGGAAGAAAGATGATGCTTTCTGCACACATAAAGATTTACAGCCTTGAAAGCCCTATGTAGGGTCACAATGAGGCAGAATTGACTTGATGGCAGTGAATTTTTTGGTTTGGGTGTGGTAATGCATGATAATTTCATAAGAAACCCTTAAACTATTTTCCAAAGTGGTTGTACAACACTGTCACACCACCCCCTACCCCTAGCAAATATATGCTTCTTACAGGTCTCTATATCCTTGTCTACCTTGGAATTTCATTTGTTTAGTTAATACCCATTCATTTCACTGGGTGTATAAAGAAATCTTGTTTTGGTTTTAGTTTGTATTTCTCTGAGGACTGATGATGTTGAATTTCTTTTTATGTGCTTATTGGTCATGCATAAATCTTTCGTGAGATGTCTTCAAATCTTTTGTCTTTATTTATTTATTTATTTTGGTGATGGCAGTGGTGGTGGGGGAGTTGTTTGTATTTTTTCTTCTTGCAATGTTTTTGTTTTTCATTACCAAGGTAGTGCTGGCTTTATAAAAGGAGGAGGGATGTGTTCGCTTCACCTCTACTTTCTGAAATATTTTATGGAACATTATTATTAATCTTTTGAGTGTTTAATAGGCTTCAGCAATCAAGCCATATGGACCTGTAATGTTCTTTATTAAGAGGTTTTAAATTACAATTTCAGTTTCCTTACTGGATGGAGAGCTCTTCATATTTTCTATTCCTTGTGTCAATTTTAGAAATTTGTTAATTTTATATATGTAGTCAAATTTATTGTCATAGTTACTTATAATAATGCTTACTATTCTTTTGCTGTTTATAAGATCTGTAGTGATGTCCCTCTTTCTTTCCTGATATTGGTGATTTGTGTTTTCTCTCTTGATCAGTCTAGCTAGAGGTTTATCAGTTATAGTGATCACTTCTAAGAATTATCCTTTAATTGATTTTTCTTTTGATTTTTGCTCCTACTTACTTTGGGCTTATTTCTTTTAGCTTCTTAAAGTTGAAAATAAACATTCTAACTTATTCAAGTTAATTTATAAATATTTTTTGTTTTTAAATATAAACATTTAGAGCTAAAAATTTCTTGCTAAACCTTGCTTTAAGGAGCTGTTGCAACGTAGTGATTATGAATTGGGCAGCTAACCTCAAAGTTAGAAGTTCAAAACTACCAGCTGTTCCATGGGAGAAAGATGATACTTTCTGCTCCCATGAAGATTTACACCCTCTAAAACCCCTGTACAGGGTTGCTATGCTTTGGAACTGACTCCACGGCACATAACCACCACCGCCACCAAGTCTTGCTTTATTTATAGCCTACAGATTTTGATAGATTGTTGAGTGTACTTTAAATTTGCTTTATAACCCAGAGGATGATTTATTTTGGTGACTGTTTCATATACACTAGATGCAGTATGTTCGATACACATCAGTTAGATCAAGCTGGTTTAGAGTGTTTTGTCTTATACATCCTTACTGACTTTCTGTCTACTTGGTCTGTGGACTATTGAGAGGGAATGTTGATATCTCTATGGTGGTGGTGGTAATGTGCTGTGGAATTGGTTCTGACTCATAAGCGACCCTGTACAGGGTTTCTGAGGCTGTAAATATTTACGGGAGCAGAAAGCCTCATCTTTCTCCCACGGAACAGCTAGTAGTTTTGAATTGCTGACCCTGAGGTTCACAGTCTGATTTGTAACCACTATGCTACCAGAGCTCCTTGGTATCTCTATGTTGTTGTTGTTGTTGTTGTTAAGTGCCGTCGAGTAGATTCCGACCCATAGCGACCCTGTACAGGGTTTCCGAGGGTGGAAATCTTTACGGGAGTAGAAAGCCTCATCTTCTCCCGCGGAGCGACTGGTAGTTTCGAACCGCTGACCTTAAGGTTCGCAGCCCGATTCGTAACCACTACGCTACCAGAGCTCCTATCTCTATAGATTTATCTATTTTCTTTGTCAGTTTTGTTAACTTTGGTTCATCTATTATGAAGGTCTGTCATTGAACACATTCACAGTTTGGATTGCTGTGTTTATGGTGACTTTGCCTTTTTTTTAAAAAAAACAACTTTTTATTGTGACTTGAAGTTTTAAAGAGCCAATCATCAGGTTTGCTTTCAACAATACACACTTTGCTTCATTACAATGATTGCAGTTCTCTCCATGTACCAACAGAGTTAACATTTACCTCGATTCTCTTGAACTACTGCATTCTTCCCTGTGTCCCCTGCTACCTTCATCTTTCCTCTGCTAACCTCCCTCTTGTTGTATATTGCCTGCCCTGTCTTCTATGTTAACTAATATGTGTCTGCCCTCTAGCCATAAATAATTTTCTCTCCCCCTCCCCCTGTAAGCATCATAAATTGTCTTTTTTTTTTTTTAAGTGTTTTATTGTGAATTATGTGATAGTTTACATGGAAAAACATTAGCTTTACATTCATCCTATGTATATTCATTGCCATGGTTACAGTCCCCTCCATGCATCATCAACCAACCAAAGGGTATACCCTGCAAGCCTGCCCCCTGGCCATCAGCACACAGCCCTGCTCCCTCTCTGGGTCTAGAGTCCCCAGCCTTAAGCTCTCTCCATGTCATCATCTCTGCCTCC